ATCGCCCGAGGCCCTGCGGGGTGCCCGGGGCCGGGCGCAGTGCTGCTCGGATTGTCCAGAGGCCGCCCATTCTTCCTGCCCCCCCTTCCCCGGAGCGGGCGCCCGCGGAGGCGCGCGCCGATTGGCCTCCAGAGGGCTTTGCTTTAGGAGTTATTATCGCCGTCTGGGCGCCGAGACATGGGCATTGGCCCGAGCTGGGTGCGTTTGGGGAGCTCCGCGCCCTGTCTTCGGTCTTGGCCGCAGGATTTGCCCACCCTGTTTTTGGCATGGGATTCGCGGGGGTTAACGTCGAGCGGATGTGGTCGGTTGCGGAGTTCCTGAGGGCTCTTTGGGTTATCTGGATGCTCTTCGGGGACTTCAATGCACCTGCCTCCGACATGAGCCTCCCAGGCTTGCCCTGGATGGCCCAGGGTCGCGCGGTCGCGCCCAATGGCATTGATATTGCACGTGCGCCAGGCCGCGGGTGTCTGCTTGATTATGCTACTGTATCCTCTGAGTTGGGCGATGTCGCCTCGGTCTCTGTCTGCAGCCCTGGCCCGTTGAAGACCCGCGACATCCTGGAGATCAGGCTCAAGCAGGAGGCCCTCTACCAACGGATGTGGAGGAGGTTGCGCCCTGCCAATTTGCCCCGGGGCTAACATCTTGTACGCCTGAAAGGTGAAGTACCTCCTGCTCCTCAATTTCTGGATGCAGCTCTTCCTCCGCGCGCCCAGGAGAACCTGAGTGGCAGCCTGGCCGCCACGTTCTGGTCCTGGGCAACCGAGGCCATTTTTGAATCCCGGGCTGTTGCGCGTGCCAGACCTGCGTGCTCGGTGAATGTTGGTGATGTTCCTTGCTTTGTGTGTGCCACCATTGCGAGGCGAGGCCCTGTGGGCCAGAGTTTTTGGGGCCCGCCGTTTGCCTTTTGGGCCCAGCTCCCGCAACAATGGGGTGAGCGTCGGCTCTGCCTACGCAAGGCTGGTACGTCGCCTGCTATGCTACAGAGTATTGGTTATCAGCCTGCTGGTCTTGCAGAGAAGGCGGGCAACTCCTGCGCGCCGAGTCGCCGACAGATGCTGCCTGGCGGCAGCAGAGCCTCGCTCCCCTGCCTCAAGAGTTTGGTGCGCTAGAGGAGTTTTCAAATGTGGTCGATAACGAGCTTCACCGTGCTCGGTCCGACGCCCGGAAAAAATCCCGCCAAGGCGTGGACGATCGGCTCTTGAGAGCCTTGCCCCAAGGTGCCAAGAAGGTCACTTCCTGGTTGAGTTATGACGTTGGAGGTACCCCGCAGTTATTGATTTCGCCGTCTGGAGTTCGTCAGCCCCCTGGGGATATGATGGGGTACCGACATAGGTGGTGGTCGAACGTCTGGAATTTCCTTTATACCCAGGCGCAGCTCGCTGGAGTCCGAGACGCGCTCAGTCCTCTGGCTGCGGAGCATGCCCGAGGGTTGAAACCCCTCTCCGTTTTTGACGCCCAAAGAGGTGCCAGATGCTTTTCAGCCAGCACTGCTGAGGGGACTGACAATTGGGCCCCGAGGTCGCTGATTGTCTTCCTGCGTGCCGCTGCTTTGGGGTTCATTAGTGTCCTCAATCAGTGCGAAGCTGAGATGATGTTCCCCCCCCCCTCCCACGTGTTTTTGAGCGTCGTGGTCCTGCTTCCGAGAAAAAGAAACACTGACTGCGGCCGTCCGATTTGCAAATGCCCAATCAGTTACCGAAATGATTGTACGGCGGGAAATCGTGCCCTCGATATTTGGGCCCAAGGTAGACGCAATGTTTGGGACATTTCCCTTCGAGGTTCCAGTGCCCTGCAGGCGGTCTTGCTCCGACGGCGGGGGCACGAGATCGCGCGCATGCTCGGCCTCTGCTCTGTTGGAGCGCACTGGGACCTCACTCGCTTTTTCGACTCGGTTGAACCGCCTAAGCTGGTTGAGCTGGCGGTCAAGATAGAAAGGTCGTTCCACCTTTTATATTAGGGTATATTGGTCGAGATATTTCCTCGAGTTTGGGAGGTCGGAGGTTCTGTTTCAAGTATTATCCCTGGTGGAAACGGAATCTTGGCTGGGCGTATGCAGAGGATGGCCTGGGTTAAGATGTGCATACGATATCCGGGATCATGCTCGTGCTCTTTGAGTACCAGTCAAGGCGAAGGCATGCGTGGATGACATCACCCAGTCTATGCAAGGATCAGAGTATGAAGTGTTAACCAAGCTGGTGCCGGCTTCCGTTCACCTCGCGCACCAGCTGCAAGGCATGGGCTGCACGTTTTCTTCCAAATCAGCATTGGTGCGCAGCAACGCATATTTGGGTCGTCGCTTTGCTGAACTTGTTCGTGCCACAGGCCCCCTGATCAAATTGCAGAATGCAGCTCGAGATCTGGGGGTCATGACTTTTGCGGGCAAAGAGGGGTCAGTGTTCAGTTGGTGCAGAGACGCAGCCAGGCCTCTAAAAAGGCTCAACAGCTGCCTTTTTGCCTAGAATCGCCGGCGCCGCAAGGCAGCGGTTAAGGCTGGGGGCCTCGCGGTCGGGCCCCCCCCCCCTCTCCTCACCAGTGGGCCCGGTGCACCCGCGCCTCTCGCGGAAGGTGTGCGGGGTGTTTCGGCAAGCGCCGCGAAGGAGTCAGCCCGCTTGAAGGGTGATGCTCTGGGCTCCAATAGCGGCTGAGGGAACTACATCGTGACCCTCGGGGTCACCAGTTGAAGATGCCCGGCTTCGCCGCCTTGGATGACAGATCTGTTTTGATACGTAGCAGTTGTGGTGGCTATGCGATGGATGGTCGGCCTGTTAATTTCCAGGCGCAGTGCAGCGATAGTGTGAAGCCTTACGGCGCCAAGGCTGCTTGGAAGCGCGTCGGTGCAGTGTCCGTCATGCAGGTGCGGATCGGCCAGGGTGCCGGGGCCCGCCTCGGCCTTGGACCTGCGCCGCGCGTGAGACAGGACAGGCTGGCATGGGAGTGTCATGGGATTCCGCCCCTCCCCCGCGTGGAGTTCGGGCGATTGCCCGGCACTCCCATGCGTTTGCTTGTCTTGTCTCCGCCGCCCGAAGTGCTCATCTCATTTATGTTTACGCTGGGCAAACTTAAGCAGCGGAGCTGGAGCGTTCTACTTTGGTGACCAAGCAGCAAGATAGAGAGAGAGAGAGAGAGACAGAGACAGCCTGACTCAGAGACGCGCGACACAGATTGCGCCGAAATGCAAAACGCCAAACGGGAAGTATAGCAGCAGCCCTGGTGGGCACGGCGGAACGTCGGCGCCACCCCACCATGCCAATGTCATGTATGCGTCGCCCCCCCTCCTCCTCCTCCTCCTCCTCCTCCTCCTCCTCCTCCTCCTCCTCCTCCTCCTCCTCCTCCTCCTCCTCCTCCTCCCTCCTCCCTCCTCCCTCCTCCTCCCTCCTCCTCCCCCTCCCTCCCTCCCCCTCCTCCCTCCTCCTCCTCCTCCTCCTCCTCCTCCTCCTCCTCTTTCCTCCTCTCCTCCTCCTCCTCCCTCCTCCTCCTCCTCCCTCCTCCTCCCTCCTCCCTCCTCCTCCTCCCTCCTCCTCCTGTGCGTCGCTCCCCCCTCCACGGGCGCCGCGCACGCCGAGAAGTCCTGTGGTGTCGGCTCCGTGGCGGGCGCTTTCTGGCCGCACCGCTCGCGCAACGATATATTTTCAGGAGGGGGAAACCACACAGACACAATTCATCGTCGATCCCCAAGGAAATATGAGAAAATATGGGAATTGGGCGGGAAGACAAACCCCAGAAAAATATGGGAAAATATGGGGGACCTTTTTTTTGTGTGTATTTGTTTGTGTGTCCTTGGGCCCCTTGATACTTCAAGGGAGGAAAAAACACCCGGACCGGAGAGCTGGCGTCTACTAAACGGCCCTGGGCGTTTTTTGACAGCCCTGCCCCGTTCGATCCCTTCTTTGGGCGCGTTCGCTAAACGGCTTCGTGCGTCGGGGTGGTTGCGATCGGGGTGGAGTCTCTGCCCTCCAGTACCAGAAGATGGGTATGGCAGCTGTGCGGGTCGGACGCGCGCCTCCAAGCAGGACGCACAACACTGGTATTCGGCATCGAGCGAAGGGGGACAGCGAGCAGGGGCGGGCCTTCTCAGGAGGCTCCGAAGTCCCCGGCCGTCTCCGAGGAGCCCCGCCGCCTTCTGAGAAGGCCTTCTCCCTCTCATCTCCCCCTTCGCTCGCCGCCGAAGCATGTCCTTCTGCATCCCGTAACGAAGCCGTCAGGCTCCTCTCCCCCTCCTCCTCCTCCTCCGCCGCCCTCCTCCTCCTCCTCCTCCGCCTTCCTCCTCCTCCTCCTCCTCCTCCTCCGCCCTCCTCCGCCCTCCTCCTCCGCCCTCCTCCTCCGCCCTCCTCCTCCTCCTCCTCCTCCGCCCTCCTCCCCCCTCCTCTCCGCCCTCCTCCTCCGCCCTCCTCCTCCTCCTCCTCCGCCGCCCTCATCCTCCTCCTACGCCCTCCTCCTCCTCCCCCCTCCCCCCTCCTCCCCCCCTCCTCCCCCTCCTCCCTCCTCCTCCTCCTCCCCTCTTCCCCCTTCCCCCGCCCTCCCGCTCGGAGGCCTGCGCGCGCGTCGTGGTCGACCACGTGCTCCAGAACCGCACCGAGGCGGGGGTCGGCGCGCGGTCCGACCTTTGCGACGTCCCCCCCTCCTCGCGCCTCCTCCTCCTCCTTCTCCTCGCGCCTCCTCCTCCTCCTCCTCCTCCTCCTCGGCCTCGTCCTCGTCCTCCACCTCCTCCTCGTCCTGTGTCTGCGCGTATGAGGCGTTCCGGAAAGGGCTTCGCCTTCGATGGTCGAAGGAGCTCGACACTAGTGGGGACACTCTTCCCATGAGCCAGAGTCGGGCAGTATCGTAAACATCGCGCATCCACAGCTTGAGAGCTCTCTGGTTTCATCGTGCCGTCTGGGCGTGTGAGGTGTTCCAGAAGGGGTTTCGCCTTCGAGGGTCGAACGAGCTGCCATCTCCTCCTCGGCGGAAGGGCGGCGGGAGTCAGCGCGTCGTCCGCCCTTCGCGACACCCCACGATCAAAGAGTCGGCATGTCTTCACGCACACGAGCGGCGCAAGCAACGGGCTCGATTGCGCGGACATGGGCGCGTAACTTGCTCGCGTGAGGTCGCGCGTAAGCGGCCTCGCTTCCAGTGCAGCGTGCCGCACTGGCGACCCGCGAAAGCCACCGCGCGAGGTCGCTGTGCCATCTCGTGTAAGGCCCCTCTGTTCTCGTTGCTCGCAGGAGGTGTTCCAGAAATGGGCCTCGCCGTCTCCTCCTCCTCCTCCTCCTCCTCCTCCTCCTCCTCCTCCTCCTCCTCTTCCGGACGAGCTGCCATCTCCTCCACGGCGGAAGGGCGGCGTCGAGAGCGAGGCGAGGCCGCCTCCGCCCGCGGAAGCGGGCGGAGGGGTGATGGAAGCCGGCGGGGGTCAAAGATGCAGCACCCTCCTCCTCCTCCTCGCGCCTCCTCCTCCTCCTCCTCCTCCTCCCCTCCTCCTCCTCCTCCTCCTCCTCCTCCTCTTTCTCCTCTTCCTCCTCTTCCTCCTCCTCCTCCTCCTCCTCCTCCTCCTCCCCTCCTCCTCCTCCTCCTCCTCCTCCTCATCCTCCTCCTCATTCTCCTCCTCCTTTGATCGGAGATGCACCCTCCGATCAAAGAGCGCATATGCCGCCGCGCCGTTGGCTCCGACGCGCGGCCCAGTGCCTTCGGCCACCAGGACAAACTCCGCCTCGGGCTTCAAGGTTTGCCGTGGGTTCGCCGCGGTGCTGGCTTCGTCTACTTGCTCGCGTCAAGAACAAGCGGCGCAGCGACATGTGTGTCTATAGGAGGCGTTCCAGGAAGGGCCGCGCTTTCAATGAGCGGCCAGCCCTTCCTCGGCGGAAGGGCGGCGGAAGTAACGCGAGGCCGCATCCGCCGGCGGAAGCTGGCGGACGGGTGGCGGAAGCCAGCGGCAGTAAAAGATGCGCCACCCGCCGATCAAATAGTCAATATGCATTTGCGCATATGTCGCTGCGCCGTTTGTTCCGACGCGCGGCCCTACGCCTTGGGGAGAGCGCCTCGGCCACCAGGGCAAACTCAGCCTTGGATGGGGGTTCGCCGTGGGTTTGCCGCTGTCCAGGCTGCGTCTACCTGGGCGCGGGGCGCAGGGTTTGCGGTGGTTTTGTCGTGGTGTCGGCGTCGTCCACTTGGGCGCGTCAACAAGAACAAACGGCGCGGCGATATACAGATGTATCTATATATATATATATATATATGTATAAATGTACGGTAGAGAGAGAGAGGGAACGAGAGAGAGAGAGAGAGAAAACAGACTGAGAGAAAGAGAGAGAGAGAGAGAGCGCGAGAGATACAGGAGGAGGAAGAAAAGAAGGAGGAGGAGGAGGCGGAGAAGGATAATGAGGAGGAGGAGGAGGAGGAGGAGGAGGAGGAGTAGGAAGAGGGGGAGGAGGAGGAGGAGGAGGAGGAGGAGGAGGAGGAGGAGGGGAGGAGAAGGATAAGGATGATGATGATAGATGATGATGATGATGATGATATGATGATGATATGATGATGTTGATGATGATGATGATGATGAGATGATGAATGACGATGATGATGGATGATGATGATGATGATGATGATATGAGGAGGATGAGGAGGAGAGGAAGGAGGAGGGAGGAGGAGGAGAGGAGAGGAGGAGGATGAGGAGGAGGAGGAGGAGGAGGAGGAGGAGGAGGAGGTAAGGAGGAGGAGGAAGAGGAGGACGAGGAGGAGAAAGGAGAGGAGGAGAGAGGAGGAGGAGGAGGAGGCGGAGGAGGAGGAGGCGGAGGAGGCAGGAGGAGGGAGGGGAGGAGGAGGAGGAGCAGAGCACAGGAGGAGGAGGAGGAGGAGGAGGCGCGAGGAGGAGGGGGAGGAGGAGGAGGAGGAGGAGGAGGAGGAGGAGGAGGAGGAGGAGGAGGAGGAGCGGTCGTCCTGGGGCTTCTGCGAGGCTCTCTGGCGGGCCAGTGGAATCGTCTTGGGGCCCTCTTGGGCTGCCTCGGGCCTCTCTGGGCCGTCTTGGGGGTATTCGTGGGGCCCTCTGGAGGCCCTGTTGGGCCACGTTGGGGCTCTCGTCGTCTGTTCGGAGCTCTTCTGGGGGGCCCTCTTGGGGCGTCTCGGGGCCCTCTTGGGATGTCCTGGGGTCCTCTTGATCCGGCTTGGGCCCTTCGTCGGCCCCACCTGGAGCCCCAGACCTTCGGGACCACCATGGGCGAGCTTGTGGGCCTCGTGGGTCGTCCAGGAGGTTCTGAAGACCGAGAAGGCGAGTGTGCCGAAGTCGCGCACAGGAGCAGGCGTGGTGCTTGCCTCTACGGGGCCTCCAGGGGGTCCTCTTGGGGTCCCCTCGGGACCGTCGAGGGGGCCCGCTGCTCTGTCTTGTGGCCGTCTTTGGCCTGTCGTGGGGGTCTCTTCGGGGCCTCTTCGGGTCCTCTTGGACCGTGCTGGCGCCTTCGGGGGTCGTCCTGGGTTCGGCCAGGGAGCGCGGTTACCAGCCTTCGCAGTCGTGGCATCATGTGTGTCGTAGCAGTTCGATGTGAACACGCGGCGGGCTGCATGTGTGCGGTTCTTGTGCCTGTACGTGTTTACACACTGTGTGGGCACGCGTGGCGCCAACGTGGCGAGAAGTATCGCGGCAGTGGGCCGAGGAGCAGAACGCCCGCGATCGCACACGCGTGCTCGTGCACCACAAGCCGCCCCCCAGGCGGCAGCCAGCCACCTGGACGCCGAGGTTGCCAAGCTGGCGCGGACTTCCTACAAGGCCTTCTACCACTCGCTGATCCACGCGTGCGGCCTCCTCGGGAGCTCTCGGACGGCCGTGTGGTGCTCCGTGCAGATGGTCCGCATGGGGATGAAGCCGAATATCGTGACCTTCAATTCGCTCATCGACGCCTGCGCCAAGACGCGCAACCTTCCCCTGGCCATCGAGGTGTGGGGCATCATGTCGGACGAGCAGGTGGCCCCGAACCACATCACGTACAACACCATGATCAACGCCTGCTCCCAGGCCTGTGACGCCCAGAAGGCGGTGGAGTGGCTGCAGAGGATGCAGGACGACAACTTCTCCCCCGACACCGTGACGTACGGGGCGATCTTCTCCGTGTGCGCGAAGACTGCTGACGTCGACGCTGCGGAGGTGTTAGGGGAACGAAGACTGACTTAACCATAACAATTCGGAGGTCCGCGCGGATTTCTCGGATCCGTGCTGGACCCCCCCTGGCGGCGCCTCCGGCGCCGCCCCTGGCGCGCTCCGCGCGCCAGGGAGGGGGGTCCAACGCAGATCCGCGAAATCCGCGCGGACCTCCGAGTTTTTGTGTTTATGTCATTCTAGCCCGTGTTGTTTATGCTTTTCTGGCATGATGTTTTCATGTGTATGCTTGTCGTTCTGTTTTTTTTGTATGTTTATGTGTATGTCATTATTATTTCCCCTAGGTGTGGTTCCAGCGCATGGACCAGAGCGGCGCGAAGGCGGACCGCGTCATCTTCAATCCGGCTGCCTGCGGCAAGTCCCGCCGCCGTGCCAGCTCCGCCCACTCTTCCTCTTCCCTCCTCCCTCTTCCCTCCTCCTCCTCCTCCTCCTCCTCCTCGTCCTCCTCCTCTTTTTCCTCCTCCTCCTCCTCCTCCTCTTCCCGTCCTCCTCCGTCACGTGTGGCACCTCTCGTCTTCATTTCGTGGAGCTCATTCGGGCCGTCTTGGGGCCGTCTTGGGCTCCGGTAGGGCAGTCCTGGGGGTCCCTTAGGGCCTCGCTTGGGCCGGCTCAGGGTCATCTCGGCAGTCTAAAGGAGCTAGATGATGTTGAGGCCGTCGTGGGCTGTCGAGGGACCCTCTACGGCCGTCTTGGGTCTCTCCAGATGCCCTCCTGGGTCAGCTTGGAGTTCTCTTGGGGCCGTACTGTGCCGTCTAGAGTTGTCGTGAGGCCGTCTTGGAGATTCACAGAGCAATTTCAAGGCTTTCGCGGGCCGTCTTGGTGCCATATTGGGGACCCCTTGGGGACGTCTGCAGCGGGAGGAACCCCGAAAAGGCAAAGTCGCTCGAATCGTTGAACAACTGAAGGGACATCAATGGTTGGGGCTTCTTCGGGCCACACATGGTGTCCTCTTTTGTGGCCCTCCTTGGGCCGCCTTGGGAGCCTCTTGGGCCACCTTGTGGCCATCTCATGGCCGCCTTGGCGGCCGTCTTGGCCGTCCTGGTGTCCCACCGCGGCCGTCTTGGAAACTCGGGCGCGCGGACCCGTCGCTTTTTTTGATCGCGGCCACGGGGGGGCGCTGCTCTGCAGTCTTGAGCCCAGGAGTGGCGGCCTCGTGATCGCATCTTGACCAGCCTGCGCCGTTTTTGAAACTTTGAGCGGACTGGGACGTTGTCAGACAGAGAGAATACTTCAATGGTCGCTCCCTGTCTACACGCTGCGGCTTGGAGCGCTAGGAGGAGGAGGAGGAGGAGGAGGAGGAGGAGGAGGAGGAGGAGGCGAGGAAGGTAGCAGGAGGAGGAGGAGGAGGAGGAGGAGGAGGAGGAGGATGAGGATGAGGGGAGGAGGAGGAGGAGGAGGGAAGGTATGGAGGAGGAGGGAGGAGGAGGAGTAGGAGGAGGAGAGGGAGGAGGATGAGAAGGAGGGAGGAGGAGGGAGCTTCCCCCCCACTGCAGCACGCTAGCAGGGGGGCGCCTCGGGGGCGCGGCCTTCCACAAAAAACGCGGCCTCGGGGGCCCGACGCCTGCCGGTGGGCGCGAGCACAAGGGGGGGAGACCCTCGGGAAGTGACGGTCGGACGGTAAGGGGACAGACAAGTGGAACCCCTTCGCCTTCGGCCCCGCATTCGCCCCCCCCCCCCCCCCCCCCCTCCCCCCAATTTGCAAAGCTGGGTCCGGGTTCGGCCTCTCGGAGGCCCTGGGGGTTCCGCTTTGTTTGTCCCCTCACGCCTGTGCTGCCAACTGCTCGAGGCCAGCTGTGAAAACGGGGGGGAGGGGGGGGGGGCGTGGTGTCCAGGGCTCCACTCTTGTGTCCATCATTGGGAGCGAGGTCCGGGATCGAGGTCGGCTCGGGGAGGGTACCCTGCGGTGCTTCGTGCTTGTCGGATGGGGGAGCGCCCCCTCGGCCTCGGGGGCTCGACGCCTGCCGGTGGGCGCGAGCACGAGGGGGGGAGACCCTCGGGAAAGGACGGTCGGAGCGAGGTCCAGGATCGAGGTCGGCTCGGGGAGGGTGCCCTGCGGTGCTTCGTGCTTGTCGGATGCATCCTGGGGGAGCGCGCCCTCGGACGGCCTGCAAGCCTGGGCCGGCGAGAGGGCCTCGTGCTCTCGCAGGGTGCCCCTCCGTCCCAGGTCCGCCCGCGCCCGACCTCCCCAGGGCGCCAGCATCGCAGAGCGGAGTTCGTTCGGAGAACGATAGGACGGGCCCGATTTCGAGGTCGATTTCGAGGTCGATTTCGGATTTCGAGGTCGATTTCGAAGTCGATTTCGAGAACGTCGCTCCGGATTTCGAGGTGGATGTCGTGCGGGTCTTCTCGTAGCCAGGAGCGAAGAGGAGCTGAAAGAAGTCCGCGCGAGATTCGCCCCGCTTTCCACTCGCCGTCTCGGGGTCTCGCACTGGCAGAAATCCACGCAGAGGTCCACTGCAGCACGTCTGCAAGGTCGGTGACGTGTGCGTTTTCTCGGCGAGGACGATCGGGGAGCATCCTGGACCATGGAGCACAAAACCACGCGCAACACCGAACAAATGCACGGGGAATGGACGTCCGAGCGATGGCAAGGTGCAGTGCGGCTCTGCCGGGCAGCCTGGCCTCCTGCCACGCCGCAGCCTGCCGCGAGGGGCGCGGTGGCGGATTCCGTGATCGCCGCGTGCGCCAAGGCCGGGCGGCCGGCCGAGGCCGAGAAGTGGGTCAAGATGATGGAGGAGAGTTCCTCCTCCTCCTCCTCCTCCTCCTCCTCCTCCTCCTCCTCCCCCTCCTTCTCCCTCCTCCCCCTCTTCTCCTCCTCATCCCCCTCTCCTCCTCCTCCTCCTCCCTCCTCCTCTCCTCCTCCTCCTCTTCGCCTCCTCCTCCTCCTCCTCCTCTCCTCCTGCTCCTCCTCCTCCCTCTCCTCCTCCCCCTCCTCCCTCCTTCTCCTCCTCCTCCTCCGCCTCCTCCTCCTCCTCCGCCATCCTCCTCCTCCCCTCCTCCTCCTCCTCCCTCCGCCTCCCCCTCCTCCCTCCTCCCCCTCGCTCCTCCTCCCTCCTACTCTCTCCTCCTCCTCTCCTCCTCCTCCTGCCTCCTCCTCCCCCTCCTCCTCCTCCCTCCTCCTCCTCCCCTCCTCCTCCTCCTCCTCCTCCTCCCCCCTCCTCCTCCTCCCTCCTCCTCCTCCTCCTCCTGTCCTCCTCCCTCCTCCTCCTCCTCCTCCTCCTCCTCCTCCTCCTCCTCCTCCTCCTCCTCCTCCTCCTCCTGACGACTCACATTGCGAACAGAAAGGTTAGTGTGACCTAACCTCACCTGCTCCTACACCCGCCTCACGTCAAACCTGCGAGGCCTCAGTTGCGATCAAAGGGCCGCACCTCAGCGGCGATCCACTTCCCTCTGTACAGCACACGGCCCTTCTCGAAACCCGAGAGGACTCGCCTTCCCCAGACTCCTGGCAAGCCACACCCCCTGCCGAGTTTGAGGACCTGGGCACCCACGGCCATGCTGGCGCCACATCGGGCGCAAAAACACCATTAACAAAACTGTCGTTGCTAACCCAACGACGCAAAGCGTGCCCTCCATCCACCACCCTCGCTCTCCCACTCTCCGACGGCAGGGGCACGACGGTGGTGCGGGGGCGGCGGCGGTGGCGGCGCCAGTGGCGGCAGCTGCTGCGGCCGCACGCGCCGCCCTGCGGGCGCGGCGTGCTGCCTGCAGCTGCGTCTTGGACAGGTGCTCGCGGTCGAACCGCACTTGTCGGGCACCCGCCTTAGCCACATTGCGGGCCACACTGGAGACGAACACAGTGGCCTGGCGGTGGCGCAGCCGATGGGCTAGCTCGACCTTTCCTGCACTGGCGACCTTGGCCCAACTATCGGCCCGCTCGTTGCCAGCAAAAACACGGAGGGACAGGCTCGCAACGCGCTGCTGCTCGGGAGTGGCGTGGCTCTTGGCTTTGACAATCCAGAGGCCCCCCCCCCCTCCACAAGACCACCCCAGTCCTCGACACGAGCCCACACCAACTCCCATAGATCTGCGTGCGCACTGCGTGGGTCAGTGCACTGAAGCTTGCCTCTATTCAGAAGGCCGTCCACGACAAATTCGCTGTCACTGTGAAACATGGCAGGGGGGCGAGCAACTCTGAGCCCTTGCAGGAGGGCCATTAGCTCAGCCCTGTCAATGCACTGCACGGGGCCTTCGAGCCCACCCGCTAGTACAGCGACTTCCTCGAAAGAACTGGCGACGACTGGGGGCGACGGCGTTGGCAGCAGGGCAACGACAGCCCATCCCGCCACACTCGCCCAGGGAATCTCATGATCCAAACGGGAGCCATCCAGAAAGAGGTCCCCCGTGAGGTCTTCCGAGGCTCCAAGGTACATTTGAGTGGGGGCAGGCGGTGGCATCACAGGCTGGCGGTTGAAAGGCAGGAGCGCACGACTGCCAAGCAGCTCAACTAGCTCCGAAGGCTGGCTTGGCATCTTTCGCCCCAGCGCACCTTCAGGCGCCAGGCCTGCAGTCACGAGCCCGTCGCAGCCGAAGTGCCTGTGATAGAGGGTGCCTGGCCGCTCGCAGCACACCTGACAGACGTCCGTGTCAACAAAGTCGGCAGCATGCAGCCTGGCCTGAGACCATTGCCCACCAACCAGCGCCGACCTAAGATATGCTTTTTCCTCGGGGCCGAGGGGGGAGCAACGCCCGAGGAGGGAAACAACTGGTTCAATCAAACAGCCTTTGGCAATCTCGGGTAACTTCAAAGTGGTGCTCACCTGGGCCCACTGCCAGGCCTCAGAGACCGGGTCTAGCACCCATCGGATGGAGTGCAGACAGAGTTCCGACGGGTTAAACTCCAGGCCCCAGGGAAGCTTCCACCAGGTGACCCCATCAAACTCGATGTGCAACCGGTGCAGGGTCGCTGCGCAGGCTGAAAAGGGCCCCGAGATGCTCTGCCAGGGGTTGCCAGACGCAGACCTGGCGAACTCTGCTTTCGCCTGCTGCAGGCCTTGCTGAATTACATGCCTTGGGATCCAACCTTTTTTTCCACGCGGCAATCAGGGCGCACAGCGGCTCGGCGGACGCTTTGAACATAGGATCCACACGGCGGCCGGGGCAGGTGAGCAACCGCAGGGTGAGGGGGGAGGAGGAGGTCGGCCCCTGATTCGCTACAAGCTGGCGTAGCCGATGCAACTCCTGATTATTCGTGCCTGTGACGCTACTGCCGTACCCAACACTGGTTTCAACCGTGGCTTTGGCAATGCGAACAATGACTCGGCGACGCTTGGCCTGGCGAAGGATGTTGATGCGGCGCCCTCGCGCCGCGGCGGCCTTCAGCCTGTCGCGCTTCGTGCCCCTTCCCCATCCGACGCCCCGATCCAAAGTCCACCCCCGAGTTTCTCTCTGCGCGCGCAGGGCATCCACCTAAACAGGCGAGCTCGACCGCAAGCGCCTGCCTCAACGAAGCCGTGCTGCCGAGGAACCTGGTTTTGTCCGACGCAATCTTTAAATCGTACTTTGTGAGTTGCTGTTGCAGTGCGTTACCAGCCTGCACCAGGGCTTCCTTCACCCTGTGCTCGGCCCCGAAACGCTGGGCACCGACGTCGTCCACCACTGTGGACCGGAAAACCGAAGGCTCAATTTTCCGAACTTCGCCCGGCGGGCGGAGGAGGATTAATTGCAGCATCAAAGTGGCGAACACACATCCTGGGAGGACGCTCTGCTCCGAGCAGACTATTGGCGAGGCGTACGTTCCCATGTCGAGGATGCGAGGCTGCCTGTACACAGATATCAACAAAAATTATTCACTGCGTGGAGCTCCCCATATGTGCATCTACTCGCATGGACCTGTCCGCCGTGAATGTCTAGGCGCAAGAGCTTTCGAATATTAACGGGCTTCAGTTGTGACGGTCTGGACATCAATCTAATTGCGAATGAATTGGAGTGTGAATGAGCCTCAGTAGTACGAGCGCGTCTCTGCGCATGAGCCTGGGGCCTCCTGGGGCCTCCTGAAACCTACTGGGGCTTCCTGGGGTCTCCAGGAGCCTCTTGGGACCTCCTGGGACCTCCTAGGAAGGTTTCGTGCCCCAGGGGAGGCGCAATCTATAGCAACAGACGTACATAAAACATTGCGGATTAGAGCCACAGGAGAAGGGCAATCTATAGGAACACGCGTAAAACACCAAGGACTCGTGCCCCAGGAGAGGCCCAATACATAGGAACATGAGTAAAACATTTAGGATTGTGTACACAGGAGAAGGACCATCTATAGAAACATACGTAGAACATCAAAGAATCGTGCTCCAGGTGAGGCCCAATCGATAGGAGCATACGTAAAACACATGGGATTGGAGCCACTCCTGTTGCCTTCTGAGGCCTCCTGCTCCTGGGGCCTCTCGGGGCCTCCTGTTGCCTTCCGAGGCCTCCTGGCGCTTCCTGTTGTCTCCTGGGGTCTCCTGTGGTTTCCTGAGGCCTTCTGGAGCTTCCTGGGGCCTCCTGGAGCCTCTTGGGACATCCTGTGGCCTCCTAGGAAGGTTTCGTGCCCCAGGGGAGGCGCAATCTATAGCAACAGACGTACATAAAACATTGCGGATTAGAGCCACAGGAGAAGGGCAATCTATAGGAACACGCGTAAAACACCAAGGACTCGTGCCCCAGGAGAGGCCCAATACATAGGAACATGAGTAAAACATTTAGGATTGTGTACACAGGAGAAGGACCATCTATAGAAACATACGTAGAACATCAAAGAATCGTGCTCCAGGTGAGGCCCAATCGATAGGAGCATACGTAAAACACATGGGATTGGAGCCACTCCTGTTGCCTTCTGAGGCCTCCTGCTCCTGGGGCCTCTCGGGGCCTCCTGTTGCCTTCCGAGGCCTCCTGGCGCTTCCTGTTGTCTCCTGGGGTCTCCTGTGGTTTCCTGAGGCCTTCTGGAGCTTCCTGGGGCCTCCTGGAGCCTCTTGGGACATCCTGTGGCCTCTTGAGTCTTTCTGTGGCCTCCTGATGCCTCCTGGGACCTCATGTGGTCTCCTGGGGCCTCCTGGAGCCTGTTGGAGCCTCCTGTGGCATCCTGAGAAGAATCTGCGCCCACGAGCCTGGCCACCAAAACAAGCAAACCGATCGAGACATCCTCAAAATCTGGCCCACCTGGGGGGTGAAAATGAGCGCCTCGCTCGAGACATCCTCCAAATCTGCTCCGAAAGCGAAGGATGTTGGGCACAGAAACAGGCAAACCGCCTGAGACATCCCCACAAAATGGCCGCGAACGAGCCCGTGCAACCACCCCTGGCGGCTCCCCTTAGGGGTGCTGAAATGAGCGCCTCGCTCGAGACATCCTCCAAATCTGCTCCGAAAGCGAAGGATGTTGGGCACAGAAACAGGCAAACCGCCTGAGACATCCCCACAAAATGGCCGCGAACGAGCCCGTGCAACCACCCCTGGCGGCTCCCCTTAGGGGTGCTGAAATGAGCGCATCGCTCGAGACATCCTCCAAATCTGCTCCGAAAGCGAAGGATGTTGGGCACAGAAACAGGCAAACCGCCTGAGACATCCCCACAAAATGGCCGCGAACGAGCCCGTGCAACCACCCCTGGCGGCTCCCCTTAGGGGTGCTGAAATGAGCGCCTCGCTCGAGACATCCTCCAAATCTGCTCCGAAAGCGAAGGATGTTGGGCACAGAAACAGGCAAACCGCCTGAGACATCCCCACAAAATGGCCGCGAACGAGCCCGTGCAACCACCCCTGGCGGCTCCC